TATTGTGCGCACAATTTACAATAAAATGTATTTACGACTATGTTTTGCCAGTGCTTAAGCCATCTATTTGGAGTGCCCTGTGCCATGTTTAATGCACCTTTTATTGATCAAAACAGGAGTTCAATAGACGCCAAAGCGTCCCCCAGCAATGCTTGGCCTGACCAATGTCCATGATATATATACATATATATATATAGATTTTTTATATGTGCCAAGTACTCCGACTCCTCGAGCTATTCGGGTTTTATTGTCAACTATTGACTGGCATTCGAGGGCGAAGTGCGCCTGGTGACAGGACTATATGTCAGCAACATAATTCACAATTCGCTAGTTTTACGAGTCGCTTCCGTTCATTTTGTGTTGTAAAAAGCCAGGCGAAATAAAACGAGCAACTGCATCCTCCCAGTGGTTATATGCGTATATGGGAATCGGATCGGGGCGACAACGCGCCCGCATCATCAAGTGACCATTGTCCAGTCAGTTCTTTTTTACGGCATCAAGGGTCATCCTTTTGTGCTTAATGGCCGGGGCGTCCAGTTCCCACTGGCAGGGGAATGACCAAAGCCGGGGTGTGGCTACTTCTCGGCTCTTCTTCGAGTATTAACCTTATGCGTTGCGTCACTCTGTGTGTCCTCTTTATTTTTTTTATTTCGAGGCTATTTCTGCTCGGGCTCGGGCTTGGTTCGGCCGTGCAAACATAAGTTATTTATGATCCATCATTGTGCAATATTTGGTAAATCTTACAGACTTTTTACGGCTGGCAAAAAGCCCCTGCCCCACTGGCTCTGGGGTACAGTTGTTGTTATGCTTGTTGTTTAACTTGGGCTTTCATTTAACTTTGCCCAACCCCCCTGCTAGCTAACCTAATGCTGTCAGCGCCGCCCCGTAACATATGTGTGCCTCAGAGTGACACTTGGAGATTTATTTCGTTTATCGTAGCACAAATAATGTTATAAAACCTTTTTTCCGGCATTGATTTGATTTGTCGACTCGACTAAATGCCAATGAATTTAAGTGAATTCAGTTTCAATTTAATTCTAGTCTCTACAACCCAGATAAGCTAGTTTTAGTTTTAGTTAAAGTGTGCGATTTTACTTAGGATATTAAAGAAGATGGAATAGAGCTAGAAAGAAAGTAATTAGAAAAGGAATAAAGAAAGGCACCAAGACAGGAATAAAGATTGAAACAGGATAAAAATGGGCCTGATTTTTCTAAAAATTCAATAAGTTATTTTTAAGCTAGAAACTTCTATATTTTGCAAGATGATCTAGTTTGAAGATTTTCGTGTTTGAAAAAAGATGGGATCCAGACTGGAATCTCGCATAAAATGCTGGTCCGGAAAGTAGCTTATAATAATTAAGCTGGAGGGAATTTTCGCATAATGCCGAAAATCATGATTAAATCTGGGTCCCGAAAGTATAGAAGTGAAAAAGATTTTCTTGCAAGAACTTAATTTTCGACAAATCGTTCCTATGGCAGCTATATGAGGCAGTTGTCGTATACTGCCTGCAAATATCTCTAGTTTCCCCGAAATGGTTAATTTTATATGTTTTGGCAATCAGATAAAAGTCGGCTAATGACATAAGCACAGTCTGCTCGCCCTGTTGTATGTGTCAGCCCAAGTGCTTATAAATGATAAATATATGTAGCTAAATCGCAACTTTGCACTCTTTTTAACGAATTTCGGCTGCAATAAAAGAGTTGGTTACTCTCTGAGGCCAACACATACATATATCATTTAATGTGCCAGCGATCATGTAATTCCACTAATGTGCTCCGTATTGAACTGTTTCGCCTCGAACAGGCCCAAAAAACGTCAACTGTCTGTCAATGGAAGCGGGAAAATTAATGTTGCCCAGGCATAAAATACAGGGCACATAAAAATGCAACGCAAAAATAACATAAAAATGCCACAAAAAGAAAACAGTGGCAATAAATATTGGTGCCCAAAACAAATGCCCGAATATCAAGCCGGAGCATTGATCCATGGAGACCAGAAAAAGTGGAACTGGCAGCAACCACCCGTTCGATTAACAACATAATTTCAAGTGTGTGTGTCATTAATGTGCACATTACGCCAAAATAATGCAAAAATCATATAATTTATATGCGTGAAAGGGTTGTCCACTGACCAAAAAAGGGTCAAAAAAGTGACCAATAACGGTGACGGCGACGGGACATTAAAGTGGCCACAGAAAAGGGGGCTAAAAGGCGTGCGGATTTTGTGTGCCTTTTGTGCGCTGAATTTGAGCATGTGGTCAGCAGCAAAGGACGAGCACACTTAAGTGTTATCCTGCCCAGGACAATAGCCAAGGCCAAAAGTGGAAGAATGTTACGCTTGGAGCGGGAAGTTTTGTTTACGGCTAAGCAAAGTTATTCTAGCTGAAGGAACTACATAGTTAGTTGGTTAAATACTTTAGAATCAAATAAATCAATGCATCTATTTTATGGTCCTGCCACCCGCACTACTCTAGCAAAAAAGACGCTAACGAACCGCGAAACTGTCAAAACAGTTCCACATATGAACAATAATCCTCGCCAGAAACGCCAGCACGTTTCTTCTACCAAGCTCAGCGAAGTGCGACGTCAGGACATATGCAAAAAGAAAATGAAAACAGGAGCATAGCAAACGGAAGGATACGCCAATGGAGAGCACACAACCATGCACCGAAACGGAAACACGTGAAAACGTATGCAAAACACACGATCTTAACCCCTTCTTGCCGCATGCATTTCCCTCACATGTGCTCACATGTGTCCGTGTGTGTGCTTGTGTGTGGCGACATGATTTTGATTTAGTGGCACTTTTAAGGCAAAGCACTCCACGACGCCCCACTCCAAGCGCCGCCTGCCTATAAATTCAATTTGCGTATTTCTTGATGCAGAAATGCGTCAACGGCAGCAACAATCATATTGAAAGGAGCAGGAACCGTGGCCGGAAGCGGAGCAGGGGTACAGACTAGGCCAACGATGACTTAATGCACTACCAATTATAACTCAATTTTCATAAATAAGACGCACTGAAGCAGCCATAGCCATTTATTGCTAAAAGAAAAAAAAAAAAAAAAGCGCAGAGAAACGCACAAAAAACACGCACGAGGTGTTGTTAGGGGAGTCGCTGACCCGGGCAGGGGATAAAAAGGGTTTACGCTACGCCTTGACAACTCTATGCTTTGATTTTGGCATACACGCAAAAAAAAAAGAACGAAAGAAAAATGAGGGAAATTTATGAAATATGAAACAACCGCATGTGTGTAAACATTTGGTTGAGCCAAAGTGAAAGTGAAAGGGCACAAGGCAGGGGCAGAGGCTCAACCCCTTTCTGCTCGTTTAGTGAACCCTTCTTATTTGCCCTTTTTTTTTCCTGGTAAAACATTGATTTTTATCACCAAAATGAAATCAATTGCATTATTGTGTATTGGGACAGGCGAAAATACATAAATATACGATATGTAGGCAGCCGTGGATAAATCAATTTTGGCAAGCCAAATGAATTACAAAACGGAAAAAATGTGAGAGGAGAGAAAATGTATTTATATAATATTAACGAATGTGAAATACCTCTCGAGTAGGCAACACATATGAAGCGCTTTGTATATCTAGTACTAGCGGGTTTTACGGCTCGATATTTAAGATATAACTTTTTGAGCCTATTCAAATCTCTAGCCTATATAAATCTGACCGTCAAGTTACCTCCGGAACTATTTGGCAACATGTTTAATTCCAGCGTTTAAACAACCAAAAATTAGAATCAACGTTTCTCTAGTGTTGAGAAATTTGAAGCCAAATAATAATTTTTCGTTTATTGAACCTTTGACCTGCATTTGGCATCCAAAAGCTGTGAACTTTGCGGAAAACGTGTCACATAAATATTAACGAAGAAAATGACTATGAGGCCGATTGAATGGTTAACTAAAAAGTTTCACATTTTCCGCCTAAATTCCACAATTGCATTACGTCCTTAGATGGGGCTTTGAATATAAGTTTCACCCTTCTAACCTTTCACCCGCATTTAGCATCCACAAAGATTGCTTTAGGCAAATTAAACTCACTCAGCAAAGCGTAGAACCCCGTTTCCACATAGGTGGAATGGACATTCCGTAATGTGTGAAGATCTTTAAAATAGGTTTTGTGGGTGGATCGGTTTTCCCCATTTTTCCACACTTGCGGGTGGATTTTCCCAAAACTTTGTCTGAGTGTGCAACTTCATTACATTAGGTAACTACAGCGAACATTTGGATTGATGTCCAATCAGTCAGTTTATAGTCAATATATAGGATATATAGAGATATATCTTGATAGAGCCTGGTATTTGATAAGCCCACAAGGGATGTCTTTTAATGTAGCCTCGCGAACTTTGTAGCTAATGAGAATTCAATGCCATTTACTACGCTGCTGTCTGATTAGTGCTCATTGTTGGCCAAATTCAGGGGCAAAATGTAAAAGTAGACGCAAGTTGTCATTGGTCTAAAATACAACATAAATCATAGAACAAGTTGAAAATGGCGTGACAGGATAGTCCTGTCAGGATGCGCCTGGTGCTCATATGCTGCTCTTGCCTGCCACAACTACCCTGTAGCCCCTGTAGCTCCAAGCCCAGAGATTTTTGACTCCTTCAGCTCCACACATGAATCACTTTATGGCGCAGCGAGTGCAACAAACTGTGATTAATAGCAGCCGCAGACCCGGACTCAGACCCAGACCCAGGGCCAAAGCCAAAGCCAGACCCACAGTAGTTGCCCAGCCAGAAGTCTAAAGCTTTGCGGGCTGACAAATTTTCATGAATTTTTTATTAAACATTGAAATCAATTCCATTTTTTGTCATTGTTGTTGTTGTAGTTGTAGTTGTGGGTGGCTGTTGTTAATATTGTACTTATTGTTGCATGTGTGGTAAAAATTTAAAATTTCGGCTTCGGGGTTTTTTTTTTTGTCCTGTTGTTGTTGGCTCTTAGAGCTGCTGCACCACGTTTGACTTAACTTGTTGATTTATGGCTTTGCAGCTGTCAGCGAACCGAGCGAGCCAACTGCCGTGTGCTGAAACGGGGGCGCTTGCTATCCTTTGGAGCAGAGAACTCTATGTGGAGGACATGCCTTGTAGCATTGTGTAAAACGCTTGTTAACATTTACCCCAACGACAAAATTTTGTAAAAGCCTGTGACAGTTTTCAGCGTAAGCAAAAGCGCACAAATCTCCACACACACTGATTTGCAAAGAGAGAACGGAATTTAAATTAGTCGAAGCGGTAAGTGCGTAGCTGAAAATGCTTTTTGGCATAGTTTCCAGCATGAGAGTCATAAATCACACGACATTTCAGACTGTTTACAAAAAAAAAGTGGATGACGAATAGAGAGTGTCAAGCGAATAGAGCAAATGTTACATACAAATGACTTTTCGGAATATTAAAAAATCAGGGCAAAGTAATGAAGAGAGAAAAATTCGAGACTCAGTTGTACGCAGCTTGTTGAAATATCTTGGATGACATAAGTTCTTGTTATGATATATTTCTTAATGCTTCCGATATACTTTACTTTATTAAAACTATATATCACATCATGGCTTTTTACAATAGTTAAGATCTCATAACTGAACATAATTTTGCGGCTGCAAAAAAAATTTAAAAATATTTGAAAAAAGGGTTAAATGCGCATTCACCCTTAACAAATTTTCAATATTTACAATTACTTAGCATTTTAAGTCGCCGCGTCACATCAAAATGACAATTATTTGTCAAGTCACAATCAAATTGAGCCCAAAAAGGAGAGCTTGTCGCGGCACAGTTGTGCCTAATCCTGTGGCTTTGCATGTGCAGGCTGTGATACCAACAACACAAAAAAAAGAAAAAAATATAAAAGGATTGCACTCGTCAAAGTGACGAGACGCGGCAAGTCCTGAGGGGGATATCCTGCTGCCTGCAGGCGTGCGTCAGCCATAAATGTTTATGATTATGGGCAGGCGGCGGAAGATTTACTTAACACATGTGCTGCATTTTTGCATATGATACCAACTAGAGATGGCAGAGGGCGAAAGCAGAAATATCAAGCCTATCGGAATAAAGCGGAATGAACATGAAAAGCATATATAATTTGTGAAATATTTTTGGATATGTGAGCAAATGTGAGTTGAGAAAGAGAACTGAAGTATCGTTTAATTCCTTTGCGACGCGAGTCGTGTCACGCACCCATCTCTAGCCGCACAATCCCCCGCAAGCTTCGGAGCTGGCAAACGCATAAAAACTTATGTTTATTTGACTTGGCTTTTTCCCGCCTGTTTCTAGCGTTAATTGTAAATTTCGCAAGACTCGTATGTGGCGCCCTTCAACTGCAAATGATTCGCGCAACATATTTGAAAATTTTGTACTTTATTTTAATCTATTGTGCGCGTATGATAAAATTTTACGATATTTGCCTCGCTGCTGCCGCTGCTGCCAGGGTTGCTGCCGCTTTCAAAATGCGCGCATATGCCTGGCTTGAAATTATTTTTAATTGGCGGACCCTCACCGCCGCAAGGTACAGTCACAGCTTAAAGTCCGCAGCCCCAGTCTGCCTTCGGGCGGGCTTTCGCATAAAAAGCTTTCAAATCAAAGCAATTTCGCTTTGATTTGTGCGAATTGCATTAAAAAAGCCAAAACAAATAAAAAAAAAAAAAACACAAATACGTATCGCCTCAAATTTGGCGCGTGAGATTTATGTAGTTGAAAGATTTATTCGCGACAAATTTATTGTAAGCCCTCGCCGGGAGCTCTAGTCGCCCCCAAGCTGACCTGACCTGGCCTGGCCTGGCCTGGCCGTGGTCTTCATAGACTTGTTTGCCGTTAAGTGCTTTAAAAGCGCATAAATCACGCGGTTTTGAATTCGCATTCGCGACCACGTTGACAAGCTTGCCTAAAACAGTCCGTAGCCACCCAAACCAATTGGGCTCCCTGTCTTTTTTTTTTTTGCTGGACCCAGCATGCTTTTAGGCGCGCCAAATTACGCGTAAATGGCAGCTCCAACTGTGACTCGGACGCCCTGGCTAAATTCTTGCTGGACGCAGCCTCCAGCCTCCGGCTGGAATGGTATTTGGACATGTTCGCGCATTGCCCGCGGCGGCACAGCTTCCACATGCGACGCACGTTGATGGCATTTTAATTAGTTTTAGGAACTTGTAGCTGCCATTTGATTGAATTGTTGTTGGACACTTTGTGGATGGGCCGTAGACGGATTAGTAAGCGCGATTTTGTTGTCATTGGCTTTAAGCGATCACCTCAAAGTGCAATCAATTGAAAGAGAAGCCTGCCAATATATATAAATGTAATTTGTTAATTTTCAAATTTATCAAATTGCAATTTTAATAATTCAGTTTAACGAATATTTTCTGACAATTCTGATGCGCTGACTTATCTTTTTTTTTTTTAGGTATTTGGCGCATTAAATAAAATTTTTTTGTCCGTTTTTTGACAAATTGCTCATAAAATATTTAAAAATCTCCTTGGCCAGTTTCATAAAAATTATGATTATTTTTTTTCAAGCATTTTTCATCGTTTAATCTGGCGCATCAGTCGGGCATCAAATTATGTTTTCACCATTTTACGACATTTGTTTCAAATTAAGCAAAGCCCAAGACGCTTGCCCTCTAAAAGTCTCAGCCCCCTCACCATCAAGTATATTGTTTTGTTCTATCAGGAGTTTTTAATATTTGAATAGCCCGGTGGAGAGGTTTCTTGCAATTATCTGCTCGAGCGGCGTCTTGGCGCAATTTCCAATTAAAATTAATGAAATATTTTACGGGCTCAGCGCAAGCTCGGCTGGGTCAGCCATAAAACCATTTGAAAATCTTGTCAACGCCGTCTCATAATCATAAACGCTGCCCACTTTTTTTTGGGGGTGTGTAATTATTAGCACCCGAGCAACTGCAACCGCCTAATTCCCTGGACAGCAGCGGTGCCCATCTTGGCAGGCGTCAAGGAGCGCACTTTGAAGTGTTGAGGTTTGCTCCCAGGAGGTTTTTCTCGCTGCGGGTTTGACAACAGCTCGTTCTTTTTTTGTTTCTCATTTATTTTTCTTTCTATAATTTTCTCTGCATATAATTGAAAATTGTGCACATCAGAAAACATGTGAAAACTTTAGCCACAGGTTTTCAGCCACATTTCCACTTTTTAATTTGCCAGACTCTGCGTTGGCGTTATAAATGACCAAGGCACATACGGTAGAATTAATGACAATACCCACGACTGACAGTTAGTCAGTTAGTCAGTCAGTCAGTCAGTCTGATGGACACATGTATTGTCGGGCAAAAAAACAAGAAATGTTTGCAAAAAGCATTTTTGCTTAATGTTGATTAAAATGCCAGCGCTTTTATTTAGCGCTCGTCCCTGGCCGTTGGCGTGAAAAAATTTCCGCCAAGTTGCAGCCATTTGCTTTCGTCTCTTTTTTTTTTTTTTTGTAGCCAGAGAAACCATATTGACAACCCAAGTTGGCCAAAAACAGCAGGCAACTGCCAACAGGCAACAGGCAGCTGTCTGCACAGGCGTCGAACAATGGCAAATGGTTGGATGGATGAATGGAGAGACAATTCTTGGATGGACAGCGGTTGATATATTTTTTTCTGGTTTTTTGTTTTTGGTATGTCTATTTGAATTTTACTTTTTTTTTTGTATTGTTTTCGTTGCTTGGCATTGCGTAGACAAATGAATGAAAATGTCAAACCGAACTGCGGGCATTTTGGTTTGCTGGACTGGTTAGACAGTGGCTATGCACAGTGGTCGCAAGTGGAAATGTCATATGAAATACGGTTTGTTTTTAGGGATAATAAGTGAAGGAAGTATTAATTTCGAAAACAAAACATTAAAATTGTTCATGAGAATCAAATAGAAAGGCGATATATATGAGCATGCGATATTCCACACAGGATCGATTTTTTCAATAAATCAATAAATCGATTTTTTCAACACGCTCATGAGAATCAAATAGAAAGGCGTCATATAATAAGTAGCAACTTTATTACACACTCACTCCTTATAGTTTTCTCATAATTGCCTTCTAATACTTCGATTTAATGCGTTAAATGTTCTAATGTGAAATACTAAACTCGTAACGTGTCCATGAGAAGCAAATAGATATATAAGACCAACTTCTCCACATACTCACCCCAACTCTTTTTAATAAATCTTCACCAATCAATCAATTGGCCACTTAAGGCTTATTATCGCCTTTCTATACGATTCTCATGCTCATACAAAATTATTAAGCATGCAGCTACGGCTGAATTTTGTAAATTATAGCGTCAACTGTACCTGAACTCAAGTGCATCCCTATGCAGTGCACTTGTGACAGTCACACTCATACACATAATTGTGTATGTGTTTGTATGTGTTTTACATACAAGTAGCAATAACTTCCAGCTATAATGACAAAGCAATTAAACATTTCAACAATCAACGTGAAGGCATAAAATTTCAAAGCCCCCGTCCGCTAGAGAGCTCTGCTCGGGGTAGGTAGTTGCCCAAAACAATCAAAAACGGTGTCGAGTCGCGTTGCAGCCACTGTCAACTTGTTGGGCAGGGGTAATAGCTTTCAAACAATAAATGTCCGCAAAACCATTGACGTGGCCAGCTCGCAAATATGCAAAAGGCCAAGTTTGAGGGATATGGCAGAAATGGCAGTAACAGCCAATGGCCAAGTCATTACAAGAGCTCGTCCAAATCACGCCAGGGGTAAAGAAGCTGGCCAACCTTGTCGGCGGTGGGGTAAGGGTGAATATTTGCAGGAGCTTTGGACTGCCAAGCAATTCATCTAATTTGCATGAGCATTGGGCACGCTCACAGTGTTTGGGGTAGTCGCACAATAAATAAAATTAAAATGATGGCAAACAATGAATGGACCCAGCGAATGGACGCAACCATAGACGACTATTCACGTAATGCGAGACACACACACACGTAATGACCTCCAGAGAGCAGGGGCGAGAAAGAGACAGAGAGAGGGAGAGAGAAAAAATAAAACCCACAACGTACCGAACAAAATTGAAAAGGAAATTGTTTGTAACTGCGAAACGAGTTTATTATTTTGGCACCCTTTCGACCCGAGCACTCTGTGCACAATGGGGACAATGGTCAGCGCGCAAAGAAAGCGCGAAATTTTACATATGGCTTGGCTCCGGCACAGGCTCCGGCCCATCGACGTAGCCATGGGTCCGTAACCTTTTTTAATTAAAATGTTGACAGGCGCATGCAAAAATGCGCGCCGACACACGTCTGATGGAGCGTTCGTATGCAGGGAAAAGACAGCAGCACAGAGTGGGCCTCCAGAAAGTCATCATCATGGGGCAGTTGATGTGCTTCATTGGTCAGACATAGCCCTAGGTATGCAAATAATTATAGCACAAGAGCACCTAAAACTGAAGCTCTTTAATTTGTTTGTCTATATAATCAAATTAATTATATACAGATCAAAAAGATCTTCTCCGCTCTCTGTATAGTTTCTATTTATATATTTGTTTTATATTTTAAATTTAGCAAAGAATTTTCATGAGCACGGTCAAGAATGCTTTTGGAACTAACTCTCCTCCCCTATCTTTAGAATGCGGGCGCAGCTTT